CTAATTTTAAAGTACTTTTCCGTAAGATCAATGATTCTTATTAAAATAACAATGCTTTTATCGATGATACATCCTGTTGGAATTTTCGTTTGAGTATAGCTTCTTGTTTTTGAAAATTTAAATCTAGTGAATTGGAATAGTGCTACAAAAAGTTTTGAATATCTCAGAAACTTACAGGCTAGTACATTCTCTATCATGGGGTCTTCTAGCACGGACTCGTCCTCGACGTTTGAGTAGAAGGAGAGTCGCGATGATGATTCTGTCATAATCTCCTCTTCCAACAGCGAAGTCCTCTCACTTGGCGGAGGATCTTGTGGTGGTGCTGGGCTATTCGTTACAAGAGCTAGTGGCGATATGCCAGCACGAGTGGAACGTGGAGGTATGGGAAGAATCAGTGAGTCAAAGCTGTCCGCGGTCATCTTCGTAGTGCATTCGTCTCCAAGATGAGGAATTGGGCTGGACTGATCATTCAAGCAATCCGTGGAATCCTGGAAACAGCTGTTAGTATAAAGAATTTCGTGTTTCGACGGTACACAGTGTACAACAATGTATCTTACCTTACAAGTTGCTCGCAGATTCGGTGCTGACCATTTTTTAACGAGATTATGTACCCCAAGCGCTGATCCGTTGTTCTGCGTAAGGTTGTGTTGTGATCCAGTCTCCAGTAAGTTGAAGTTTGACCCTAGGCGTGAAGTAAATAGCCCATTCGCATTGACAGGACGCCGACGTAAAGGAGAGTTCTGGAAACTTTGGACTGCAACCAAACGCAATCAAATGAAAGTCTGAACTTACCGTTTTATTTGTTAGAAGGGATAATCCGTCAGGGGCTGTGGAAACCGTTGCGGGGCTATTACGTGCCGCCTTCACAGGGAGATTGTGATAAAACCAACCGTAAGTATCCAATCTTTTTCTCAACCGAGGAAAGCGATGGAAGAGGTAGGTAGTAATGAAGATGCGAACTCCAAGGGTGAGACCTGAACTCAGAGAAAGTTCAAGCCGTACTGGAAATGAAAACAAAGTGTAAGTATAGGGTTAGAAATCATTTTGAATTTGGCAAGG